AGTTGTTTTTTGAAGACAGGGTATTTAGGATGAGAGGAGAGAAGAGATTCCAGAGAGATAGTTCCATCATGTAAAGTATAAAGTGATCTTAAGTTAACTGATGACGATTTCTAAATTTCTATATGAAATAAATACCTCTTTTTAATGTCTCATTTATTTTAACCAAAAGTGTTTACCATGAGGGATTCTTTGGGATGATTGAAACTAGATGTCTTGAACTATATAGTTAAAGTTTATTAGGCTCTAATAACTATTAAAAAAAGTTTTTCAAAAATGCATGATGTTTGAGCAGTAAATGAGTTAAAAGGCACGTGAGAGCCAATCAAAATCAAGAATCTATTCGTAGATCATTCTAGAATGTAATTTTCTAATTTGGTATATTTTCTGACTGTAATAAAGCAAATGAAGTGTACTGCTCTTAGGACCATTTCAGTCTTTATTTATAATATAAAATTCATCATTTACAAATGTGATATTGCATTTATTATTACTTTAAGACTACTAAATATTATTTACAATAATATATTTAATTTTTCTAACCATCTTTTATTTTTTTAAGGATATGTAATTTCTTCTTACATTTTCTTATACTACCTCTCTGGATCTGAAATATCATTCTTAATCATAAATATAACTTATTACATTATTGTATTTTTATGTGATTGATTATGATATTTGGTATCACAATATCTGTCATCATATTTTCCTTCTGCTTAGGTCATGCATACTATGCATAATCTTCTTTTATAAGCTGTTGGAGCTCATGTAGCTTTAACTTTCACAGATTAGTAAATTCCAATTTAATAGTTTGATAGATCTGTTTGACTCTATATTTTAAGAACACATCATATATTTAAATAGCAGAAGTATAGTAGTGCTTCTTCACTATATTCCAAAGCTGGCTCTGTTTCTGCAAAGTGCCATTGGCATACAACATCTTCAGATAGAATCTATATACTATTAAATTGATGTGCTATTTTAACCTCAAAATTCTTTAAAAATAATTTATTGTTAGAACAATACTTCCAGAATAGTTGTAAGTTGTCATAAAGAGCAGGAGTCTTGAATTGATGTTGATCAGATATGAATAGGTGATGTCATCTAAGATCTCATCCAATATGATCAAATTTCTAACTATTTTTTTCGAATTCTTTTTTACAGATCTTAAAAATTCTTTTTACCCATGTTTGATATCCTCTTTTTATTTAAAATATTATTAAAATTTTTTTTTTCTTTATGACTTTCATCAATTTTGGAAATTTTATTTTAAAATTTTTTCAATTTCTTTTTATATCAACTTGTTGATTTTTATTTCCTAGTTGGACTGTTTATAATACTCCTTCAGCAGTGTAACATTAAATGGTGTCACAAAGACCTTTTTCTTTATAGTATGCAATTTATACACATTCCTATTTAGTATCTAATAAACTTAAAACAGTCCATCCTATTTTGGCTCTAACTTAATGCTTTTATTATATTTTTTTGAAGCAAAGTATAGTAGAACTTTGTTATCAATTGACAATTCAGATGAAAAATAGGCATTTCAGTTATACTGTTCTTTTTGTTTTCTTTAAGCCTGTTGAACTTCCAACATAGTCTTATTGTATGTTATTGGTAATTCTTCTAACAATTGGTACATTCTTTGTATTATTATTCTTTTTAACAAATTATCAAATTCAATTAGTAGATAAGCTTCTCTTCTATGCATCAAGTAAAATGGCATAATTTTGTAGTTGCATGCTTAAAGGTACAGTATGCAAATAATACTGTATGCACAACAAGGTTCCAGTCACTAATGTTATCTATTAACCTTGTAATAGATTTGCACAAGGTCTTATTATATCATTCTATCAACCTGTTGTTCTGTGAGTGGTATGACATCAATAGCAAGTGCTTGATCTGGAACTTTTCTAATAACCTATCAACAAGTTGATTCCTAAAGTGGGTGCCACAATCTGATAGCAACTTGAAGAGGCATCCATGTTAGCACATGATATTTTTAAATACAAAATCTGCCATACTTTGAGTATCAGCAATTGAAATTGCCCTAGCTTCTGGCTATTTTGTTATATAGTCAATTGCTATAACTATATAGCATGAATTTCATAGAGTAATTGAGAGCAGTCTTATAATATCAATCTCAACTTTATAGAAGGATGCCATCATGAGTATTGGTTGTAAACGTTCAATATAATTATTTTTTTCTTACTTTTTACAATTTTTGTACGATTAGACATATTTTTTAATTTATTTGAATGCATGTGGCCAATAGTATGTCTTACAGATTTTTTCAAACATCATCTTAGCATCAAAGTGCATACCAATAGGATAATCAAAAGGATGAAGTTGATTTTATGCTTCTGTATCATTTCAAAGGTTGGTCTTGAGTTTTCTTGCTTTTCTAATACAATAAAGCATTCTTTATTACAAACAATTTACTGTAATTAACCAACTGTCTTTTTTGTTTTTTGTTTAGTTTGCCATCAACATATCCTTCTTGCAAGTATCATTTTAACTAATTATAGTCATCTGTTTTCATTTCAAATTTCTAATACAAGGACTTCAACTATCTGGACTGAATTGAATTTATATTGATTTGGATATTTTTTTCTTTTTTTGTCATTCTAGTTATTCTATTTCTTTTTATATGCTTTTTACTAATTTGATATTAGTTCACTTAGATGATCCAATTTCTGAATATAGTCATTGTTTTTTGCTTATCAATGCTCTGTATTAATAATTTTCTAAAAAACTGTGATGTCATTTTCTTAATTGACCACATTTACTAAGAAGGCTATGTGTAATTCAATGCATTCACTTGGCAATATAGTTCAATATTAACTACTTTTTAGTTGACCTCCTGTTGGTGTTTTACTCTTTCTCAATTTCTTGCAGATTCAACAATTTGGTATATTCTAAGTTAATGACAGTATAGTATAAGTATTCCCTTCAAATCAATTCTTACTTCAATTCTGTAATTATTTAATCTCTTAATACTAACAGCTATCTAGATTCTGATGCTATTAGGTGGAATCTGTGAAATTCTATTGTGTAAATGTCTTTCTTTATTCAAAATTTCTAATGCAAAATGCTTAAAATGAATAGGATATAATATGTTTAATAGATGTTGGCATACAATTTACTTGGCCTCAAATACTCTAGTTTACTTTGATATTTCATCCCCAACTTAGTAAATGATAATAGAGAGGTCAGTTGGGCTCTTGGGTTGAATATCCCTTCAAACTTAGGTAAGTTGGGTTGCATTTTACTTACTTGTTCTTTGATGTTTCTGTTACTAATTCTTCTTCAATACTTTCTACTATTGTCATATATATTTCTACAATTTCATCTTTCATTGCATTTGTTCGAGACAATACATCTGCATTCCAATGAGTACATCCTGACCTATATTGGAACATGTAATTATACAGCTGTAAACAAAGTATTTAATAGGCCCTTTTACATTTTAACTTTGTACTATGCAGCCACTTAAGTGCAGAGTGGTTAGTTATAATAACAAACAGCTTAAAGCCAAAATAATGATAGTAATATTCTACTATCCAAATAACCATCAGGTATTTCGATTCATATGCAAATAATTTCATTTAGCTTTAGATAAACTACAGCTTGTGTATGAAATCACATGTCCTTTTTATCAGCACTCTTTTGTGCTATAACAGCTTCTAATCCTATTTCAGATACATCAGTATATAGATAAAACATATTATAGAAGTCAGAATACTTAAGAATGGATACTGTAATTAGGTGCATTTTCAATGTTTTGAATGCTAGTTGCTGTTGCAGTTCCTATTCGAATCTAATGTCTTTTTTTAATTGATAGTATAGAGGTCATGCAATAGCTAAAAATTCAGAGATAAACTTTCTATAATATGTTGCAAGACTATTAAATCTTCTTAACTAATGCAAAGTAGCAGGTATGGGATAGTTTTTAACTTTTTCTATATTAATTTTTAATCCTGCCATTGCTAACTTATTAAACACTTTCTTTAAGTATACTAAATATTTATTGAAGGTGTGTGAGTAGACATTGATATCATCAATATAGAGAATCACAAATTTTCTAATGTATTCTTTTAATATATAATTCATCAATTGTTGAAATATAGTAGATGCATTTGATAGTCAATATGACATAATGTTGAACTTATAAAGACCTCACTGCATTATGAAAGCTATTTTCTCCTTGTCTTCCTCTTTGACCTTTACTTGCCAATATTTGCTCTTCAAGTCTAAACTAAAAAACCATTTCATAGTGCTAAAGGTCTCTAGCAAATCATTGATATGAAGTAGTAGATAAGAGTTCTTTTTTATTACTGTATTTAATTTTTTATAATCTATGCATAGTCATAGCTTTTCACACTTTTTTGGGACTACTACAATGAGTGAAGCCTATAGGCTGCTTAACTTTCTAATCAATTTCTTTCTTCCATTTTTTTTAATTTCTTCTTAATGAATTCATTTTTGCTAAGCATGACTCTATAAGCTTTCTGCTTTATTGGCTTAGTCCTGTCAGTTTCAATCTGATAGATTATTACATTTGTCTCTCCAAGTTCTCATATTTTACTTGCAAACAAGATTCTCTTTTGCTTAAAGAATGTCACTGCTTTTTTCTTGCCTTCTTTATTAAAGTTATCATTCTGAAGGAACTGTTCAATCTGCTTTCTACTATAATTTTGGTTTTATCATTATCTTTTGTTAACATCTCCTCAACATTTATTAGATACAGGACTGGGCTTGTCAATTCTTCTTACAGGTTATAAAATAGATCTACAGATTCTTCAATAGCTTCTTCTTTATATTATCCTTTCACTTGACTAGTTCTTTATCCTCATATATGTATTCACTAAATTCATCTCTGCTATTAGTACTAGGCTGGTCTTTTTCTTTTGGAACCTCTAATTTCTTCATTCTGTTGTTAGAGATAGGTACTTTTATTCATCTACTATTATGCTTGAGAAACAGCTATTGTTCATTGAAGTGAATTTATGCTTGGGCTTATTGAACTAATCATTACTAAGTAGCAGAGTTTTATCAGTTTATTCAATAACCTGAAAGGTATAGGCAATAGGATGTTTTAAATAGCCACCTTTATGTTCTTGATTTGTCCTAGTGCTTACATTCTCATACTGGTTGTTGTAATTACTACTATAGATAATGGTTTGTTCATTTTTAACCTTAATTTTTTTATGAGCTTTCTCATTATTATATTTACTGCAGTGCCCGAATTTAAGATGGCTCAAATAGGGTTGCCTCTTATTCTAATGTAACAATAGCCAACTGTTATTCTATAAGCATGCTGAAATTCACCACCTGAAGTTCTTGAACTTCTTGAAGTACTCAAATTTCTTTAGACTTCAGGGCTACAAAGGGTTGATATTGTACTTGGACTATATTTCTTTTTTGATTTGATATTTGGAACAGTTAGCTGTAGGTAGTATTTGTCCTTGTATTTAATAGATCCTCTGCAATATTGTAGGACATAAGGCTTTCTATAACAGACAGTCTCTACTTTCTTCTTAATTTCTTGACCAGCCATGCCTCATCCAACTTTATAGGCACCAGTTGGTCTTTTATATCTATTAACAAGAGTTTAGGCTTTATTTGGGAGCTAAGTCAATTATCCTACTTCACTTCAGGTTGCAGCTTAGGTTGTTTATTGGCAATGTCAGGCTGTAACAATATTATAATTTCTTTGTAATTTTTCTTTTTTATTATTTTTCTAAGTCTTTTCTTAATTATATACTAATTACTATAATTAATTTAGCTATATTTAGTTTATCAGTTTATCAAATATAATTAGGATTAATTTAGCAAATATAACATAGATAGATAAGCATTATTATGACTCATTTATTTTGCCCTATAGTGCAATTTTGCTTATCAATAATGTAATTAAGATGTGTATTAATGATTGACTTTGATTTGTAATAATTTATATTTATTTTTTATTTTTATCTTTATTATTATTAATCATATACTAGAATCTTCTAAATAGATTAGTAAGCCTTATGAGCGAACTAAGCTTCTATTTTTAATGTACTTTTATTCTTAAATTTATATACTTTTAAAAATTATTTAAACCTGACAAGATTTCTTTAATAAAATTTTAAGTATTTTTTATTGGCAAAATTATATACAAAGTATTTTGAATAATAAAACCTTTATAATGATACTTTAAAATTTTCAAATAAGTGAATTCATAAATTCAAATAATGTAATAATTTTAAAAATTTTTGATTATATAGTAAAGCAAATAGTATTCTATTATTTTTATTTTCTGAATATAAACAAAAATTATATGAATTGATTGAAAAATATATATTAGAAAATATGTTTAATGCAGATGAAACAGGCCTTTTTTTATATAATACCAGATTAAATACTTGCATCTTAATCAAGACCTGGCTTTAAAAAGACTAGTTTATTATAATAAAATTTTAATTAAGTTTGATATTAGTTATGCCTTGTTTGACTAATTATAAGTTTCTTAGTATAGTCATTCCTTATTAATATAAATCTGTTAATATTAATCTAAGCTATAATAAATTTTTATATATTAAATTATATTAAAATTTTTTTATATATATCAACTTTAATATATTTCTTTATTAATATCACTATCAATATGAATATAAAAATAATTCAAATAAGTTAATACAAATGTGAAATGACTATATAAAGATAGCTCCTAGTCAACAATTAGTAAACAGAAAATAACATCTTTATTTTCTATTATGTAAAAATAATTATCAATTACCTTTGGCCAATCTTATTTATATAGCTTTTTTATATACTTATATATTGTATTATCCTAGTTAATCTTTATCAAAAAACAATGTATAAAATAAAAATTTTACTTCAAATTAAGTATATAAAAGTTATCTTATATGATAATAAGAGATATAATGATTATATATTTTTTTAGATAATTATTATTTTTTTTTTTTAGCTTCTATTAGAACTAAAAAAAAAATTTAAAAAAATATTTTATTTCTTACTTTATAAAAATAAATAGTATTTATTTCTAAAACTTTAATTTTTATATTACAATTAGGATTGCTTACAAATTACTATTATGCTTACATATAATGCAACTAGAACTAAAAAATTAAAGTCATTAGTAATTGAATTATCAATTTTTTTCTGTTCACTTTTTCATATTAATTATAATTTTTTACCTATTATTTATTATGCAAATTCTTAAGTATAGATATGAAATGATATATTTTCTAAATGGTTAAAAAACTTAGATCAAAAATTTTATATTTAAAATCAGTAGGTTTTATTACTAGCAGTTAATACTTCTTCATATTTTCATGACCAATTTAATATCATCAAATTACCTAAATTAGATAAATCAAATTCTAATTTAAAAAAAGAAATATTAACTATTTTATATAGAAATTGATAAAGTCAAAGTTAAACCAAATCAATCAAGATGTAAGCAATAGTTATGATAATTATTATTATAGTAATTGTGGTAGTCATAATAGTTGTAGTAGTTATAGTACTAGTAGTAGTATAGGCTATTATAATAGTAGTTATAATTATCTATATACTATATCTGATTATTCAAATATACAACTAACCAACATTAAGCTTGAATTTTTATTACCAAATACTACTACTTACCTTTAGCTAATGAATATAAAAATTATTAAAAGCTTTAAGTATAACAAAAATATATTCAGTATAACTAATGCAATTTAAAAATAATAAAGATTTAAAAAAGTAAATTAAAATTACTTTTTAATTATAAAAAATTATATGCATAATATTAGCATTATCACTTAGAAGTTAACAACTAGACTATTTTACTAGGTTATTACACCTCATTTATACTACATTTTTTAACTATATTCTTATTATTTTATTAATATTTTTTTATCTATTTGTTTATTTAATTAATACTACCTTTTATTTTTTTAATTATATTTATTTTTTATTTAATTATTTTACCTTTATCATTTTTTTTTATAATAATATAATTAACTTTTGTTATATAAATAGTTAATAAAATTCATGAGTAACTTAATAGTGTATACTAGAATAATAAACATTATTTAGAAAATTTCAACTAATTTTAATTATTCTAATAGTTTTAGGTTGCAGATAAATATGTTTGAACTCTTACTCTTATATATAAATTTTTTAATACTTAAAGTTATAGTTTTATAGTTAACAATTTCTAATTGCAAGTGTTTGTATTTGTCATAACATATATATAAAATTACTTTTTGTATCCAATAACTTCATATAATTATTACTTAAAAACTACAAATAAAGATACAAGCAAGGTCATTTTAATACCAAAAAATATATATATATAAATCAAATTAAAAATTTTTATATGCAGCATGAATTAAGTCATAAAAATTAAATATTTTTCATAATATAGAATTCTAAAAGTAATCTGTTTGCTTAGATTTTAATTTTTAAATTACAAAAATTTTATAAATTATTTTGTCTAAATAATATTTAAAACATATAAAAATTTTTATAAAAACCAACCCAGAAGTGTTTATAGTAAATAACTTATAAAATTTTGTATCAAATATTTACAAAAGCTGACCCGACCGGGTTATGAGAAACAATTAACTAACTTTATATGGCCTTAGTAGTATAACAGTCAAACTTCTCTAAGTGTACTCCCTCGGAATCATAGTAAAAAAGGCAAAATATGCACTTGAAGAGGGCTTGCATTCGTATATATTAAGTGAATTTATATAGAGCACATATATTTATAATAGTGAGCCAATCAAAATCGCGAAAAAAATAATTGATCATCAGCCAATCAGGTGGATATTCAACCATGCTCTTAGTAACCACACTGTATTACCATTTAACTCATCATTCAACTTAACTAATCACAAATTTGAATATTTCCGCTCATATGCAATAATAAATATTTAGTTGTTTTACCTGGAAAATTTTCCTTTTTGGGCTTGCATCACTTGCAGAAATAATAGATAAGTAAATCCGTGCGTACGTTTTAAGCTCATGGTGCAGGATAGGTGCAGAATAGGAAAAACACAAATTATATACCGGTATATGTATGGTACGGTATATTCGATCAACAATACTTATTTAATTGTAGTGGAGATTCTAACTTAATTTCGTCTGGTAAATTCGGTTTATGCAATTAATTTTACTTAGTGTATTATCTTTAATATAAAGAGAAGTTTTGGAATGTTAGTTTTTTTTTTCTCTTTTACTTCTCGTAAAAATGGATGCAGAACTCTTCAAAAAACTCTCCAACGATTTAACAAATCTTCTTAAAAATGGAAATAACTATGATGTATTAATTGAAGTTGGTGAAATACCCAGCCGTCAGATATTTAAAGCCCATTCAATTATCTTGAATTCACGATGTTCTTATTTTCGTGATGAGTTAAGCAAGTCAAGTTTTAATGAAAGAAAGGTTAAAAAGATCAGTAAACCAGATGTTTCTGTTACTATTTTTAAAATAATTATCACGTACGTAGGTTATATTTTTTATCGATATATTTATAATTATAAATTATAATTTTTCTTTGTTTTTTTTTTTTTTAAAAAAAAAATGGGTTATAGGTATATTTATGGTGGTTTCGTTCGAATTGATGAAGCTAATGTGTCTGTAATCCTTGATCTCTTAAGTACTGCTAATCAGTTTGGCCTCGAAGAATTAGTTGATACTGTGCAAGTAAAATTGATCAAGAATCATGCGTCATGGATGCGTCTAAACTTTACTAAAATTTATAAATTCAGTTTTAATGATAATTTTAAAGTTCTACAACAATTTTGTAATGATATTATTGTTAAACATCCAGATATTCTTTACAATTTAGAGGACTTTGTAAATATTTCTGAAAAAGCCTTAGTTTCTTTTTTGAAGCTTGATAATAAACAAGCCGATGATGGCAAAATTTGGGATCTGGTTATTAAATGGGGAATTGCTCAAAACTCTGGCCTAACTTCTAATCCTGAAGAATGGTCTGACGCAAATTTCTTAACTTTAAAGACTATTCTTAAAAATTGCCTACCTCATATCCGGTACTCTCAGATTGCTAGCAAAGATATTTTAGAAAAAGTGCAACCGTATCATCGAATCCTTGATCCTGAGTTATGGAAAGAAGTTTCAGCTTCAAATGAGGCTAGTGTTTCAAATTCTTTAACATTTCAAGCAATCTCAGCAACTAGGAATGTGAATAACGATTCAATTATATTATCTCAAAATATATCAACTACAACTTCAAAAGTAAAAAATGAGAAGAAAAATGAAAATTCAACTACCACTGCTATAGCTACTATAGTACCAGTTACTTTTACTACATCAAATAACTCGTATGAAAGAAATTTGAATACACCTTTACAAAAAAATGATAGCAATGTCAAATCTGAAAACTGGGCGAAATGTAATATCAAATTTGAGAATGAATTTGAAAATAGTAAAATTGAAGATATATCAGAAAGTGATGATGAATTTGAAAATTATTGGAAAAGTAATGAATTCGATAATGGTACTTCTACTAAAAGATCATATAAATGTAAAATTTGTGGTCAAGATGGGCATAATAGACGTACTTGTGGTCGCAATATTATCTCACTATCAACTACCTCACTATCAACTACCTCGAAATATAACGACACACCCACTAAAAGGTCATATATATGTGGAAATTGTGGTCAAGAAGGGCATAATAGACGTACTTGTGGTCACAAGATTATCCCACTATTAACTACCTCACTATCAGCTACCTCGAAATATAACGACACACCCACTAAAAGATCATATAAATGTGGAAATTGTGGTCAAGAAGGGCATAATAGACGTACTTGTGGGTCGATGAAAAATACATAGCATACACTGAGAACAAGAAAACTACAATAAACGTACTTGTGATCATGTACGTAAACTGAAAACAAAAGCTAATCTTTAGCAATTAAGTTATTATTGTTTGAAAATAGACACAAGAGAGCAGTATTCATATAAATCAATTATTTATTTATAAGTAACTTAGGATAAATTAATAGCTTATTTATTCAAATATAAAATTTAAATTTCATAATTTAGTTCTATAACCCGGCCGGGTTATGAAAACCAATCCATAAACTTTATATGGCCTAAATATAATAGTTTATTGCATTATAAACATCACTATAAAACAATCTATTTGTACAATCAGCAAATTATTTATTTATTAAGATAGTAAGAGTAATATGATTAATGTTGTTAATCAATTTGAGGTTTATTATCCCTATATCATCTTGCTCAAGATTATACTGCTTGATTGCAATCTATTATAGATTATATGAGAGGCTAGTTAATATTTGTAATCTTTTTCATTTATATATATAAATTTTGAAGATATTTATCTTTTATTAATATCCAGAGTCAGTAACATACCATCTTGGTAATTTACAATAAATTACCGTAATTTTACAACCCAGGTACCTGGGTTTAATAGTAAATATTTTTTTTTTTGCGATTTTTCGACATGGTCAGTTTCGATTTTTTTAGGATTATTTTCGAGAGTTCAAGTAAAATTTTATAACTTATAATTGAATGTACCGTATTTTCGCGTAATAACACCATGAGCGTTATTTCAAATTTTGGCCTGAATTAAGTTTAACTTAGGCCAAAATTCGAAATCACTCCCTTGCGCGTTATTACACAAAATACAGTAGACGATTTTATGGTAATAGATGCAGTTTTGTAAATTATTATTCTTTATGATTAGTAGTAAAAAATTCTCCAATTTTACATGCCAAATATATAGCCAATTTTCGTGTATTACTGGATACAGATTAGAAAAATCGAAAATGAAAGAGAAATTTGTGAAATTTTTATTTGTAAGCGAAATAGTTAGATTTATTCACAAAAAGAGATAAAATTCAATAATTTTGCGATCGTCAGGGGTCACGCTAATTTGAAAAAGAGTGATAATTGGAAATTACGCGTCATAGTAAATTTTTTAGGGTGGATTTGTTTAAGATTTACGATAAGTGGGTAAAACGAAACCCCAAATTTCATTAAGTGAACACTATATATACTACACATGACTAATATAACATAATTCTTGTGAGATATCTCAGAGTTAGATGATAATAACTTCCGGCCAAGGGCATGCAGTTAGATAGGTTTGACTGTATTTGTTTAAATAAATTACGAGAATTTAATAAATGATTATATGCACGCAGTGCAATATAAATATTACTAAGGTGCTATAAATATCACCGTGTGCTATTAATATATTACTTTATGCTATAAAAATATATAAATCAAAAGTCAATTAATCGAAAGTTGGTCAAATTGGCAACTAATCGATTTAAAACTCTTCAAGCAATATAATCGTTAAATGATTATTTGTTATAAGCTTTGGACAAATTTTTTCCAACCAATTAAATTAATAGAAATTATATGATTATGTCTCAAAAACATGTGACACTAGTTTACGAAAGTTTGTCTAATCGATTAAAATTTTTTAATAAATTCAAGTTTACATAATTTATACACTTTAGAGTACTTTTTAAAAAAACGAAAACTAAATAAAAAAAACTGTATAGACTCCATAGCCAAAAATAAGATCTAATTCTTGTCCGTTTAAAAAAGTTAGTATAGTAATAACCTCTCAAAACCCGATAAAATCCACTTATTACTAAGTTAATTTTTTTAAACGGACGAGGATTAGCTCTTATTTTTGACTATAGAGTCCTACAGCTCTAATGAAATATTCTATACAGTTTTTTTTTTATTTCATTATGATTAGTTTTCGGTTTTTTAAAAAGCACTCTAAACTTTATAAATAATGTAAAGTTAAATTGAATTTATTAGCCAACCAGACGAACTTCTGCCTATGAATTCTGGCCTTATCTTAATGTAATGTGCAGAATTCATCATGAATTCTTTATATAACAATAGATGCTGGTGTCGACAACAACAGAGAAAAAATTATTCGACATCGATTCTTAGAAAAGACTCATCATGTAATGGTAAGGGTTTTACACAAATATATATACCAAGCCACAATATTTTTTAGAGCTGCAAAGCCAACAAACCGATGAAATTTTTTGTTTCGTATTCTTTGAAATAAAACCGAAATTTTTTAATTTAAAAAATGTAAATTATCTATAAAAAATTTTATGAATTTTTATAAAAATTATAACAAGATAGTGAAAAATTGTTTTTAGTAAAATCTAAGGTGATGCCACTACCAGTAAAAGACCATGGATATTCGAGACACGTCATTGGAATGATATTGGGAATTCCATTATTGTTTTTATTAATAATTTGCCCATTTCTGGGTTCGTTATTTTGAATTATATAATTACATATAATTTATTATATATGTAACGATAACGATAATGAAATTTTAGAATTTATAGATATTCAATATTCTCAATATATTCCTGGTAAAGCCAAATTAGGAAAATTTATTGTCGAGGGTTTGTAAGTTATGATTATTTGAATATCGATATTTATCTTTTTTTATTAACGTTAATAAAACAAAAAAACCAACCATTATTATACTTATATATTATATTTACTTATTAAATAGTTATTTTGCTTGCACACTTTGGATACCTTGTATGTGATTTTTCTACATTCATTTACTTTAAATGTTTTTTAACATTTGTTTTTTTTTAAATATAAGGTCATGTATTTATATCCTGCTTATGTAATTGTAAGCCGAAAGTTTTAATAGACGTATTTAAAGATAACGCATGGTATTTATTTAAAATTTCAATCAAGACTTATTACTGTATTAAATATAACTTAATTATTTCTATGACAAAAAAGTTACGTCCTCGTATGGTGGATAGTTGCCGCTAGTAAGTCTTAAAGTAATTTTTTATTTATACATTTTAAGTAACTTTCTCTTAATACTTTTATTCATTGATTAGGTATATATACTATATATATGGTAGCATTAGATCAAGACGAAATCCACCAGATTCCATTCTATTGTCCAACTTCATACAACTACCAATCTCAATTTATGCACTCAGCATGTATAATAAGATGTTTAAACATGATGTGTATGTGGTTATATGTTTTATTCGGTATTCTATGGTACGGTGCTGGAATGCTTGATTATTTGCCGAGAAAAGAGGATATGACATGGTACAATAAATGGTTTGCCAGTGAAGAAAGTCTGGAAAGTGAATTTATAGTTAATCAAACAGATATAGTCGAATGGGTACAATCAACAAGAAGAGAAACCTTTGCGAGATGAGTAGAATGTAATTATTAATTGTAAAGTGGATATTTCTAAATCATCTTAGATATACAAAAATATAAACATAGCGTACAATATATCTTTGTGAAAACTATTGGGAGTCACTTCGGTTTCGGAACCTATTACTTATTTTTCAACCATATTTTATCACACATGGTAATTTTATTAAAATCTGGTGTTTTTACACCTAGCGCTAGCGTTATCAAGAAATCATTTAATTGTCAAAGTCAGGTACATACATAATTAATTCTCATACGTACAGTATTAGCCAGCAAATCACTTTATTACTAAAAATTTTAAATCATTATAACCTTTATAGAACAAGTTAAAACAAAAACCTTCTGACTATTGATAGATTTTGTTCTTGTCAGAGGATTTTTTGTTGTATTTTTTTTTTTTGAAAGTTATAATGAGCTTATAATTAAAACAATGCGTTCGATTTATGCTTAATTAACTACGTAATCAGAACCAATTATGCAAAATTAGCCAATTAAAATTGGTTATAAATTGGAATTCGTAACTAACTTGTCATTTGCACACTAAATTGTTTTTGTGATAACACAAACTCATTGAATTGCTTCTTACAGAAAAATTTATACGTCTTCACGAAGTCTTATTCACCTTTTTTTATCATTTTCATAGTAAAAATATTATTTATTAATTTCTAGAGAAATGTTGCTAGAGTTTCCTAATGAACTAATTTTCTAAATCTTTAGTGTTATGTTTTGAGAAACTATGATATGTAATCAAATCATATATGTATATTTTATTATTTCCTTGAATTTATTTTTACTTGCGAAAAATAAAATTTTAATTCCAGTTGTTATTAATAATAAATCACATCAAATCATATTGATAAACACTATTGAAGTATTCTTTTATTAAAAAAAATAAACAATCCTTTTAAAATCGGTCATATTATTACTTTTAATCAGGTTCACGGGATAATGGTAAATCTACAGATAAAACCACCCGTATTCTGATTTATTTACCCGCACAAAACCTAGAACCGATATTTTTTAAGACTAAAAGATATTATTATGAAGACTATCTATTAGGGTTCAATAAGCCGTAATGAGAGAATCGGAAATAAGAACTGTTAATGATAATAAGAATGAGTTGTACATTAAATGTGGTAAAGGTGGTCAAATTAATTTAGTTTATTGGAAATTCAACTCTTGTGCTATCTTTAAAATTCTCAAGTTCGATATTTAAAAAGTATAATTTATATCAAATTGATTTGAAATGAAATCACTTAAAAAATTAAGTGGTAGATCGCAGTTGAAGGGTATAAATTTCATAGTAAAATTCGGCGATTACTTTCATATAATGTTGGAATGCTGAAAGTTTCCGGCATTATATAAAAATCATATAGTTGTAAAGGAGAAAGCGCCAATAACTCGCGATCTACAAAACCAATTTGAATAATTCTACCACTATTAGAACCGGAATAACTTGCTTTAGAATCTTTGTTAGAAACTCAAGGAAGTTTTACTTGGCATAAAAAACTTTTCATTGTAAACCGGCTGCATTACAACCCTATATAAAACTATACTAAATTTGCTATTTTTTATACCCTTCAACCTCTTAAATGCAGAAATATGATACGTAGCACATTGGCATCAAAATTTCATACCCACGTGATCATCGACCAATAAAAAATCATAATATAATGTAATGTAATGTAACACGATCAGGAAAATTCAAAACAAACGTCTTTTTCCTTGAGCAATTTTTATTATTTGCCTAAATCTAAACGAACTTCGTTGGTTACGTAGAGGGTGAAATTTTTGATGCCGATGCTAGGAAAGATAATCTAGTGGTATGTTTCACGTGATAATCATCACGAAAAAAAAGATAAAAAATATCAAGATTATCTAAATTGTCAAACAATGTCACATAACATTAAAATTGTCGATGACAACTCTATTACTCCTGCAAAAGCCCGTTGGAAATTACTTTCCTCCGTAATTTCTTCTCTTAATTCGGATTCTTTAGTGACTCTCAACAAATTCTCTAAAAGGAATCATCAGGGATTTAACCTGTTTCCGAAAATAAAACTTGATCAATCTCCTTTAGCGTTAGATGATGTTAATAATAAAGTTATTGATGTTACTTTGATGAAAACCTTGACAAATTCCGAAATTTGCATTGATAAAGATAAGCATACTCAAAAGGACCATTATGAATGGCATTCTTATGATTTAGGTGATAATGATTATATAAACATTAGGTAAAAATAATTTATATTGTATGAATTTTTAAACCATTTAAAAATTATTCCATCATTATTCAACCCCCATCTTTTAATAGAATAAAAATTCCTTATTATTGTGATATGAAGAATAGTCTTTATTCTAAATATTCGGGGTTTTTATCTACTGGTAATATCTGCGTTTGGCCTGCTGAAGAAGTTTTGGCCTATTATTCTTTAAATAATTCTCATCTTTTTAGGTATGAATCTTATGCTCAAGTCTTATAATTTTACAAAGTATCGACAAGTAATAATTAAATTTATTTTGATTAAGAAACAAAACTGTCTGTGAAATAGGTGGCGGTATGTGTGCATTAGCTGGTTTGTTCGTTGCTACAAAATGTCAGCCATCAAGTGTTACCTTAACAGATGGTAACCCTGATTGTGTACAAAATATCCTTTTCTTATGCAGATATTGTATTGATTTCAATAGCCAATATACATTATATATACCTTAATTAATATTTACATATCCAACATATTTTAAATGCCAACTCTAAACTGTTTTCAGCAAATTTGTGTACCATGCAAATGATTTGGGACCGTAATATCCATTATGATAAAACATACGATGTTGTTTTATGTGCAGATTGGTAATTCCTTTTTTCATGATTGACTTGTGAAATTTTATTATTTTGAATTCTTCAACATCAACACTATTATCTGAACGCAACTCTCTTAAATCTTTAGTACCTTTGATAAACAAATTCATTTGCATTTGTTACATGTTATACGCTCTATCTTAAAAAAACCATCGAAAAATAATCCGTACAAAAGTTTATTTCTTCTCTGTGCACCACAACGAGGTGGTAGCTTACAAGAATTTATCTCTTTATTAGAAACTCAAGGCGATTTTCACGTTAAATTGTTAGAAAGATATGATGACTTTGTGTGGAAAGTTCATCAACAAAGTATAACTGAAAATCCTGTGCATTATATTCCTGATACTCATTATCCTTTAATTGTGCAAGCATCTTGGCGAGTATAAAATTTATTATCTTTATAAACTTTATATTTTCTTCTCACATCAAAGTTAGAAACATTGTCAAATATTGTAATATATTGTATATTCTCTTTTTTTTTATTTTATATGTTGGATGCTCATTATAATTACTTTCTAACTTTCGCTATTCTATTATATAACAAATTTCTAAAAAATTATAATTACGATATTTATTGTTTATGTTATATATAATTAGGGATGTTAACAGCCTGGTTTGGTTTAGTCTGGTTAATTTCGGTCTTAAGACTTTGCTAGTCCAGACTGGTCCAGATCAGACCAGTCTTAAAACTTAAAGCTGATCAATTTTTTGGGTCTTAAGTAAAGATAGGTTCGGTCGCGAACGGTCATAATTATTCATGACCAATGTTCTAAATACTGAGATGAATTTTTTACTTTTGAGCTTTTAATTAAGATTGTTCAGAATTAAATTCTGATCATCTCATCTTATAAGTGGAGAAACGATACCTTCTCTGGAACTCGGAATTTCAAAATTTGTAACGTCATGACCGGTTAATAACCGGTCATGGAATTAGCATATTTTGAAATTCCGAGTTCCAGAGAAGGTATCGTTTCTCCACTTATATGATGAGATGATCAGAATTTAATTCTGAAAATCTTAATTAAAAGCTCAAAAGTAAAAAATTCATCTCAGTATTTAGAACATTGGTCATGAATAATTATGACCGTTCGCAACCGAACCCATCCCTAGTCTTGTGGTCCATTAGTTTAAGACCAGACCACATAACATTCCTAATTAAATATATCTGCATTTATTGAAAATTAAATGTCCACAATTGTTGCTAATGTTTCTAAACTCTTGTTTTATGAAGGTTAATTATTTGTTTCTCACAACATGAATTTTATAAAGTAACCCATCCATCCGGCTTTTAGACTATAATCAAAAATTATATAGGTTTTTTTTTTTTTGGTTTCTAAAAAAAAATACTGTCTGCCGGGTTATGAGAAACAATTAATTGTATAACCAAAGTTTTTGATTCCAACGGTTTCGGTACTTTAATTAGTTAATCGCAAATTGATCCATTATATATGAGTGCGTAAGAATGAAAACCTGGAAATAAAATTTAAAATTGATGATCGGCGTTTTGATAATTTCAGTCGCATACGATAGAAATAGGGATGGTAAAAACTCGCTTTTTAATGATTTTTATGTTTTTTAACTTGAATTAGTAAAAATTTTTAAACCGTTGTTGATTTGGCTAATTTCAACTTCAGTGTCGCCATGAATTTTTATTTCTTAATCGAAATATGTTAACAATATAAGTGATGGTGTTTTAAAGTAATATAACCTGATTTAAACCATTTGCCATCTCTAAATAGAAATTACCGTAATTTCAGTAATACCTTTACTGTATGTAGAGATGGGCACGCGCTGGATTTTTAATATGATCCCAAAATAAGATTATCTGACTGGCATTACCATAACATCCGGCTAGCATTAATATAATATCTGGCCTGCATTAATTAGAATTTATTTATTCATTTGCATATCATTTCACACATATATATATGATAAGAATTTACCTTCTTTGCTGTTGGTATCTTTTGCTTACGTACCAAAAATTTTTCTTTATGATTAAGTCACTTTTAATTACTCGAATTTTTACTAATGAAATCGTGGCCGCCCATTAAGTGAAATTAGGGTTGGGAAAATTACCGTAATTTTAATAACTTTACGTAAGTTTCTGAAATCAAAATTACATGTAATTCGTAAGAAACGTGATCATCCTATCATATGATTCAATATGATTGCTCTGATCATATGCGCATCAATTTGAAGACAGCTAAATTTTTCATAGTGCTGGCACTAGGGGCCTGCAAATTGCCTATTTTTGTGGCCCGCATTTAGGGTTAAAATTTTTTTTGCCGGCCCGGCCCGCAATTATAAAATTTTGTTTCAGGCCCGGCTGCGGGACCCAATGCAGGCCTCTAGCTGGTACTATATATCACACGTGTGAAATTTACATGTTACTAAAACTTATGTGAAACTACATGTATTGGAAGTTTGTAAAATGTAATTTTCAATCCTAATTTTACAATTACAATTAAAATTAAAAAATTGAATTCCGACCAAAACTATGTATAATGCGGACCAGAAGTTTGTTGATCACAGCCGTTGGCCGAGGATCAATCGCGCATTTTTTGTGGTTTAATGAATCCCGCGCGCTGGATTTTTGAAGAAACCGCGATTTGCCAATCTCTAACTGTATGTCACCGGAATTATCAAAACGCCGATCATCAATTTTAGTGTTTTTTGATGGCTAATCTTAAGACGTGCATTATGATGTGATGACCGTGCCTTTGAGAGCTGCAGGCATTAGAACATAAGGCATGACGTAAGTAGTGACGTATTGACGTTGCTACCCAAATTTTATATGACGTAGATGACGTAAAGGTGACGTACTACCTTTGACCTTTTAAATGTCTGCATGACATTCGAAATGCAATACGACTCGGCCAGTTGCATAAAACTGATTAATCAATAGTTCCAATGAGTCAATTTCCATCTCTACTTAATCAGCCATCATTGCCAAAATTTATTTATAGGGGGGTCACCAAAATTCCGTGTCAGAATACCTCGGAATCATGATCGGCAGGGCTGGAATTAACTAATTTTGCCAGATCACTAAAAGTTTACTAATGAAGTCATGCCCCACTCATTAAGTAAAGCCTAGAAATGGTGAATATATATATATTTAGTACCCGTTCCATGTTGATTCAAAGTATAGGGTCGTCGCTATTATCTGAAAGTACTATAGAGTACTGAATGTCCATATAATAACACTGTGAAGTACTAGTAATATTTCAATTTGGTACTGTAATGTACTCAAGAATTTGCACTAATGCTTACTGTCTCGAAATAATGCCCGGGTGTAGTTTAAAAGTTTGGCCCGAATTAAGTTTAATTTAGACTGAATTTAGGGTCAAGATTCTAAATTACACCTCTGGGTGTTATTTTGAGACCATACGGTATTTTTTTTGATATTTTACTGTATTTTTTAAATACATAACCAGGATTTAATTAACTCGAAAAATTGAATTACTGTATTTTTTAAATACATAACCAGGATTTAATTAACTTAAAAAATTGAATGATCCAAAACTTTAAATATATGTCAAATAACCAGAATTTAAATAATATGAAAAATTGATTTGAACTATATATATATTTCTAGTAAACTTCTAAAAAACCCGATACTCGATTAATAAACATGTAAACTCAAAGTGTATAAGATATTTTCAACTCTATACTAGATAACCTTTCTAATATAGTTTCAAGAAAAAATTTGTGCACATCTTAAAAATTATAATATTCATTATTTTTTGACTATTACTAATAGATATATAATTAGTGTATAGCAAAGCGATAACACATACAATTTCTTTAGTTATAAATACATAATTAATTATAAAAGTAGTTATAGTTGTAAATATAAATTTATTGTTAAAATTTTTATTTCAATAATAGTTTATAATAATTTCTTTTATAGTAAAATATATTTTAGCTTGCTTGTATTATTTAAATTTGTCGAACTCAATTCTTTATCTATTTAATTAATTGATCAAATATTGATTAATTGATTAAATATTGATTAAATAAATATAGTTTCGATTTTTAATTATTTTTTATTTCATAATTGTTATTTACAAAAATGTCATTAAAAAAATATGATTCTTCATTATCTGATTCTTTAAGTATTTCAACAACATTTGAGTCTATAAACTCACCGATAGTATCTTCTAAAACTTTATTAAAATCAAAATCTTCAAGCTCTTTAAGCACATCTTTGTGTGATAACTTTATCGATTTAACTATGACTTTAAGTGAATCATCTGATATTGAGATTTCTAAAATAGACTTAGATAATTTGGTAAGTTAACTTTTTTTTAGTTATTTGCTATAATTTAATTTAGATACCCATTACAGCCGATAAGTTTGATAATGTTAAAACTTATAATTTTTTTACAAAAAATTTGTGTATAAATGAGATTAGATACTCTCCAATACCAATTGAATATCTTCCTACTTCTTTGAAAAGTATTGCAATTGTATATAATATTTCTAATTGGAATGATTATAATGTGGCTTTTTCAGATGTAAGAATAAATTTTAAAATTTTATTATTTTTTATAAATTAATATCTAATTAAATTTTAATTAACTAGATTCAATATAATATGGGTGATAGTGGTAAAAATAAAATTATTGAATGTGAATATCTAGGATATAAAGTAAATAAATTAGTTAGAATTTGTACTGATGCCAAAGTATATGAATTTGTTTCAAGTGAATTAAAAGAAATACAACATATTGAAGTTAATAAAGATTTAGATTTTTATAAATTTAATCAACCTGTTGATTTACAAACTTCAAAGGAAGCTAAAACACATGCATAAGAAATTTTATTTATTAATTTTATAATTTTAAATTAAATTAAAATATTTTATTTTTAATATTTATTTATTTTATATAGAAAATATTTAGTATATGTAAACTTTCAATATTCTTATAATTTGTCAACTTGTACAAAAAAAGCTCAAGTTTGCCACTATGAAAAAAAAATTTGATAATAATATTTTATCATATTTTATTGAATGTTCATCTTGGTCTGCAGAAGAAAAACATATTTATTAATGAATAGATGAAAATAAAATTGATATTATATTATCAAAAAAATTATTTAAAGAAAAACCTGTAAGTAAAAAAAATTAATTATTTAATTTTATAATTTATTTATATTTTTATATTTTTATATTAATTTAAATAAATCAGTAAAAAATTGTCATACAATATTATCTATAAGTTCTTATAAAAAAGAATGTTGTATGTAATTAATAATTAATTATAGTAAATTAATATATTAATTTATTATTAACTTATATTATATAATTTATATATTAGCATTTTTTATTTATCTGATAAAGGTCTTAAAAGAAAAAGAAAAATTATTAAATTAAATTGTAATGTTAAATTTATTAAACTTGTTCTATTAGATATAAAAACAACTCTATTTGTTGTTTTAATATGCAAAAAAGTTTATACTTATCTAGTACTATCATTAATTTATATTTCAACTAGAATTCAAACAAACTTGGAATATATTGTATAATTAATGAAGCTTTTTAAACATTTGAATGAGTTACATCTAAAAAAATTCTGTTTAGTAATTTATTAAAAGCATATTTTGGTAAAAATCTTTATATTGAAATACATGCTTCTTTTAATAATCTGAACAAATTAAGATATCTTGTAAGCAAAGTACAACAAAAACAATATTCTTATAGACAAGGTTTATTAGGAATTGCTACTGAATTTTGAAATAAAAATAAAGAATTTAATAGATATTTACAAGAAATTGGTTTGTTTATTTTTTATTTTTTTTATTTATTTTATTTTTTATTATTTGATAAAATTCTATTTTTAGTTATTTTTATATATATTAATATATATATAATTAATTTTATTTATATTTATTAATTTTATAGGAATATTTGATGATAAAAATATAATTATAATTTATATAAATGCTGAACAAGCTATTTTATAGAAAAATTCAGAATATTTTCAAATTGATATGGCTTTTAAACAAGTACATGAAAATATAAATAAATTTGAAATTAATAATTATTATAAACATTATAATTAAAATAAGCAATTTTTATATTATTTTAATATTTAAATAATAATTAATAATTAATATTTTATTAGATATTTACTTATGCACAAGTTTATACTAATAGGTCATTAGCTGAAATAAATTATTGAATTTTTACAAGTTTATAGAATTATATTAAAACTTTAACTAATAAATCTTCAGTATTTTTTTATATTTATAATAAAGAATGGAAATGCATATTTGGAGATTTAAACCAAGGTTAAGCAAAAGAATTAGGATTAGCATTAGTAGATATTAAGCCAAAATATACTTAAAACAAATATTTAACTTATATATTTAAAAGTTGTCAAATACATTTTTATAAATAAAATCTAGTTTATTATTATAATATTTAAAAATATTATATTTAAATTAATTTATTAATTAAATTTATTAGAAGTATTTATAATTGTCAACATAATAATAATATAAAACAATTAATGAAAAAAATTTCTAATGCTATTACAAAAACATATATTGAAGAAATATTTAAAATACTTAAACAAATTAATTATAATAAACTTGAAGGTAATATTTATAATTAAAATTTATAATAATTAATAATTAATTAATTTATTAAATTATTTAAATTTAGGACAAATTAAATTTTATTCAATTGATTGAATTATTGTATTTTTAAATTCTACTTTTTCAAATATTCCTATTGATATTTGGTATTCAGTATTACATAATACTAATATATCTAAAAGCAGTTATGCAAGAGTAAATTGATATAGAACAAATTTATATCTTCTGTAATACTCTGAATATTTGCTTGCTTAAAAATCCCTATTCATAGGGTATCCTGGGTTGGCTTGCGTAACGTTAAATGATATTACTATAAAAGAGGATATGGATTTGGCAGAGCGTATGCTTTATTAGAGTATATGTAGATTATGTTTCTCCTTACAAATGCTTTGTGCTATATATATTATTTACATATCTGCTAAATATGCTAGTTATTCTAAATATGCTAGTTACTCTAAATATGCTAGTTACTCTAAATATGCTAGTTATTCTAAATCTACTGTATATGCGATTTCTGCTAAATCTACTAACTATGCTATGTATGTTTGTTAAACAATTATGCAATCGATCTCTTTAGGTTTAATGCGTCATTGATCAGTTTCTAATTATTACACTTCATATAGCAATTCAAAAGTAATTATTTATTTATAAATTTATATTTTATTTATTAAATTATTTATTTGTTAAACTATATTTATTTAATATTATATATATTAAATTATTTTATTTTATTTATTTTTTATTAGAGATTTTTAGAAGATAAAAGAACTTTTTATTTAAGAAAAATACATGATATTTTAGAAGTATCTTATGCTAGTTATGATCAAGGTATAGTAACAAGAACAATGCACTCTATACAAAAAAATAGTATGTATATATAAGTTTAAATAATATATAATTAATTTAAATATTTATTAATACTATAATTTATTTTAACAAATAAGCACAAAAAAGACTTTAGCAAATTGACTTCAGAAAAAAAACAACAAATAAAATCTAATAGTGTTAAATATAAAACTAAATTAACAAATATAGATTTAAATAAAGCAGAAAGAAAATTAGCAATTTGAGAAAAAGAAATTACTTTAGAAGAACGTAAAGCTGAATTAGAACTAAACAGATTAAATATTGCAAAAATAAAACAAAAACTTAATATATAATATATAAATATATAAATTATACATAAATATTGCATTATTTAGTTAGTATAAAACATTTGCTTGATTATTTTAAATAAAATTAAAATTAAATAAATTTTAAGCTTTATTCATTATAATGCTAATAAAAATAAAATATACAATTAATTACATTTGCTATTAAATCTAATAAAGTATTTAAAAAAATACTATAGTAAATAGAAAACAATTAATTATATAAATGCTATATAAAAGCACTAAAAATATGTTTATAGTATAATTTTAAAATGTTCTTATTAGTCAATAGTAAAGGGAATTTATTTATTATTAAAATAGCTTTAATTTACTAATATTTATTTTGCATTACAAGAAGTTTTGCTTTAGGGTATTGTCTAATTTATTCTTTAAAACTTTTTATGATCTGAATTTATGCAATCTTTTATTAATAACATTATTATAATATTATTTATTTTTTAATAACAATTTAAGTCTATTTTGTAATTGTTATAAATAACTTTTCTTTTTAGTTATTATCTGGATGTGACTAATCAACTGCATGACAAATTAGCACAACTAATTAATTTATATAAATTAATTAATTAAATTTATTTGTCATATCAGTTAATTAGTTATATCCAAGCAGTAACTAGAAAGAAGAGTTATTTATAATAGACTTAATCACTTTAAAGTATTATATAATAGCTGTTAAATTACTATAAAGTATCCTAATTGGCATTGTAGATTATTACCTAGACTTTGATTATTAAAAACTTTGTAGTATATTATAGTACTTTAAAGTAACTGTAAGGTATACTATAAATTTGAATATAATAATACTTAGATAATATTGTGAACTGGTATTCTATATTAATTAACTAAGAAATAGTTAAATTGTATTACTAAATGCTGACCTAAATCCTATATATTTGATCCAGAAATTTGGTGATCCTCTGTAAAAAATATTCAACACTGTGTACCAGGTTTATGACACAGATTTCCTAAACTATGAATCAGATTTCAAGGTCAGACATAATGTAACATGATTAAGAAAATTTAAAAATCACTTACTTCTCAAAAATCAATGTAAAAAATCATCTTAAATGCTCTAATAAAAAGTTCTACTAAGTAATTTTATTATATAACCTACTTCTTTTTGATTTTCAACTCTGTTTCTAAACATAACATAAACGAACTTTAAAGAATTTTTTTTTCTGTATCACAAATTGGAGTTGCAAACTTTTGGTAAAATTGGTTAACTCCAACTCTGCTGATCATGATTCTGAAGTATTCTAATCTGAAAATTTGAAAACTTATTATAAAGATTATGATCTATTACAACTTTTAGATTTTAGTTGTAACTAACACTATAATCCAGCCAGCAACCTTAACTACTATATATATCAAAATGATTGTATAGATTGTATTATCACTTCTAATACATCATATTTTATAAAATAAATTAAAAAGTATATTAATAATATTAAATCTAATGATTGTTATTTTAAACTATACTTTTAGGATTATATAAACTATAATATTAAGGTTTAAAAATAAATTTATTATATTTTAATTAAATATTTTTTTTTATCAATTTATAAATTTATA